CTGCCCTTTTCTGTATCCCCACTAGTAGAATTTATTATCTTCTTCCAACTATTGTAATGGAATGCTTTATTTTCTTTCAAATGTTCCTCTTTTCAGATAAATGTATTTAAAACTATAATTTCTCCTCTCAATACTGGTTTGGCTGTGCCTGATGAATTTTGACATATGATGATCCCTCTAACACAAATATTTGGGGGACTGTTTTTATGGGTATTTTGTATTTGTTTATTGTTTGTTGGTTTCCAGCAAATGGAAATTTCTTTACCTCTTTTATTGTTATTGATTTTTAATTTTATTGCATTATGATTCCAGGACATAGTCTGCATGATATTGACTATAGAATAAACTGGATCTTTTTCAATGGCCTAGAACATGGCCAATTTTAATAAATATACAATATATGGTCACAATGCACACAATCTATGTATTAGATATGAAGTATGGCATGTGTCTATTTTTTCAGGCTTATTAGTCATGTTATTTAGTTCTTCTATCTCTTTGCTTATTTTAAGTCTACTCCGTTAGTTGGTGTCCAAGAGAGCTGTATTACCCTATTCAAAATTGTATTCCCAGCATCTAATACAGGTACTACATGTTATACAGCTTGTATTAAATAAATGAAGACATTACCCTGACTTTCTCAATATCTAGGACTCACCTTATTAGAAACAAGTCATACAGAACCCAACTCAGCTGACCTTTTGCTCTGACTCATCATGCCCTTGGCTACAAGACCATCTTACTAGGGCAAAAAGGTTACAAAGCAGACAGAGACCAGGGCCTTGAAAAAGGCCCATGCAAGAGAAGAGTGCTGGTACTTAAACTTCATTAACTTTGTGGCAACTCATTTGTGAAAGTGCTTCGCTATTTGGGTTTAGCTTCACATCACCAGAAAAGGAAGTCAGGTTTTATTATTCCAAATACAGCTGAAAACCTGAAAGACGAGGTCACACTAAGGATCACACAGTTAATAACAGAGAATGACAGTTAATGATAGAGAAGCAGCATACAGAAGCCTGGTCATTTCTCTAAAAAAAAAATTAAAGGCCATCTTTTTTCGAAACATGTTTGAGAATTTGGTGTTTTCCCCTTCAATTAGTTCCTTGTCACAAGAGCATGGTAAATCAATAACAAACATTAGCAAGTACACGGAGAAAACTGCTGGGAATGTAAGATGGTTCAGCTACTGAGAAGGACAGTCTGGAAGTCCTTCAAAAACCTAAACATGAAGTTAACATATGATCATAGGACAGTCTAGAAGTCCTTCAAAAACCTAAACATGAAGTTAACATATGATCCAACAATTCCACTTCTAGGTATCTATCCAAGAGAACTTAAAACTTATGTTCACATAAAAACATATACATGCATGTTCAGAGCGGCATGCTCACAATTGTTTAAAAATGGAAACAACCCAAATGTCTGTCAACTTATAAATGAGTAAAATTGGTATAGCCATACAATGGAATATTATTCAGACATAAAAAGAAATGAAGAACCGATATATGCTATGACACAGATATACTCTGAAGACACTATGCTCAATGCAAGAAGTCAGACACAAAAGGCCATATATTGTATGATTGTATTTATATGAAATGCCTAGAATAGGCAAATCCATACAGATAGAAAATGGATTAGTGGTTTTCTGGGGCAAAGGGAGAGGGGAAAATGAGGAGTGATTGCTAATGGGTATGGATCTCTCTTTGGGGTGACAAAAAAAATATATATATATATCTGGAATGAGATAATGACAATGGGCGCACAAACTTGTGTTTATACTTAAAACCAGTGAGCTGTTTGAGAAGCGTGAATTTTCTGGCATCTGAATCATATCTCGATGTTTAGAAGGGCATGGCAAATCAGGAATCATAGACTATAGACCACTGCTCTAAACCCCAATAGAAAGTTTCCAGGAAGCAGCACGTCACACAGGATAGACTTCGGAAAAAGATGAAGCATATTTAAATTCTACCCTTTCAACTATGACCTCCAGAACTTGGGCATTTTATTTAACTTCTCTAAGCACTGGTTTTCTCACCCATAAAATGAGGAGCAATGCTAACTATTTCATGGAGTAGTTTCGAGGAATAAATAATCCAGCTATGTAAGACAGCTAGTACTATACCACACATTTAATAGTTATCAATAAATGACTGTCACTACCATTATTGCTTTTATAATTATCATTATTATTATTTTCACATCTTTCAGACCTTTCATATCTAATAGTATTTTTAGCACTGTTCTTATTTGACACTTCTAATAACAGATCGAATGTTTCCATTTTGTGAGCATAATCCTGGCGAATTCTTTAGAAGATACCGTTTTTAAATAAAATCTATTTTTAGTATCCTGAGATATCTGCTGTGCCTGTTTCATGAAATAAATAATAATTAGCAAAACAGCTGCTGAAAATCATGTCACGTGAATTCATTCAATACATTGGTATAAATTGCAGTAGAAATGTTTGCCCATTGCACCCCCTTGTGAGGGTTCGGAGGAACTACCTTTATTCAAGACAGTAGGCGGCTCTGAGCCTTGCAATTCAGTGTGGACCTCATATAAAAAGCCTGTTAGAAATTAAGATCTTGAATTCCACCTCCTAATCAGAATATACATTTTAACACTCTCCCTGGGTGATCTGTAAGCACATTAAGTTTGGGAAGAACTAGCTTAGAGCATGTAGTAAATACTTTTCAAAAAAATTCGGGAAACATTATTGTCTTACTATTAAATGTTAAGTACTGTACCAGAAACTGGAAATATGAAGGTAAATATAATTCTTTCCACAAAGAAATTTTGGGTTAAAACCTGTAATAATTAGAATTAACTATGCATTTTTAAAAAGTGAGTTTCATGGTATGTGAATTATATCTCAGTTTAAAAAACAAACAAAAAAAGAACATGGCAAATCAAGAATCACAGATTGCTGCTCTAAAACCTAATAGGAAAATTCCAAGAAAGCAGCACCACACACAACAGTGTGGACTTTGAAAACAGAGGAATTATATTCAAATGCTACCTTTCTGATGCAATGAACGCTATATTGAAGTCATGTACAAAGTCCAATGATACACAGAGAACAACTAACTCTGATTGGAAGAAATGAAGGAAGGTTCTAGGAGGAGGTGACATTTGAGGTGGACCTTAATATGTAGAAATTTACCAGGTAGAGGACGCTGAGCACAGTATTCTGGTTGGAAGGCATACCATAAGTAAAAGCATGTGTGTTCAAAAGCATGTGACGTGTTAGAATGTGAAGTCCCTTGGTGCGTCTTTGGTGGGAAGAGTGTTGGTTAAAAGGCAATTACCTCAGAGTGACTGAATTATGGGGAATTCGCAGTTTCTAAGGTATACATACCTATAAATTTGGAAAGTTAACAATGAAAGACAAGAACAAGAAAAGCCTAAAATTATCTCAATTTCTACCTTAACCCAGGAAAAGAAAAGCAAATTAAATGTAAAGTAAGTTGAAGGAAGGAAGTAACAGAAATAGGAGCAGAAATCAATGAAATGCAATATGGACAAACAAACAAACAAACAAAAACAGTTATAGTAGTCTCCCCTTATCTACAGAAGAGACATTCAAGACCTTCCTGAAAAATCAGATAGTACCAAACCCTAACTATATTATGTCTTTTCCTATACGCACGTACCTACGATAAAGTTTAATTTATAAGTTAATGTATAAGTTTAATTTATAAGCACAGTAAGAGATGAACAACAATAACTAATAATAAAATAGAACAATGATAACAATGTACTGTCATAAAAGTTATGTGAATGTGGTCTCTCTCAAAATATTGTGCTGGACCCACCCATCTTGTGATGACGTGAGATGAAACAGCGACTCCACGATGAGGCGACATCGGAGAATTGCATCGCCATTGTGAGGTGGTGTCAGGCTATCATAAGGGGGACTTGAACAGTAGCACTGCAATACTCTGACAGTGGACCTGATACCCGAGATGGCTACATAATATAAATGCAACTGACTAACGGACAGACAGCTGAGCGTATCCAACGTGAGTGTATCATCCGGTGCGAGCGTATCCAGTGTGGAGATGCTGGATAAAGGGCTGAGTCGCGTCTGGGGTGGGAGGGAGCTGAGCTTGCTACTCGGAACTGCACGCTATTGACAACATGAGTTGTTTATTCTGTAATTGTCCATTTAATATTTTCAGACCACAGTTGATCTCAGGTAACCGAAATGGCAGAAAAACAAAATCATGGATAAGGGGGACTACTGTAAACCAAAAGCTAATTTCCTGAAAAAAATCAATAAAGATGACAAACCGCTAGCCATACTGATCAAGTTAAAAGAGAGTAAACACAATTGCCAATATCAGAAATGAAAGAGGGGACACCGCTACCAAGTTTACAGTCATTATGGGGACAATAAGAGAATATTATGAAAAGATTTTTGCCAATAAATTCGACAACGTAGATGAAATAGACATATGTCTTAAAAGATACCAATTAACAAAACTAACTCAAGAAGAAATAAGAAATCTGAGTATCCCAATGTCTGTTAAAGAAAATAAATTTGTAATTTAAAATCTTCTGAAAAAGAAACCTCCAGACCCAGATATCTTTACTGATAAATTCTATCAAGCATTTAAGGAAGAAATCATACCAATTCTCTGCAAACTAGTCAAAGAAGAGAAGAAGAGGGAACACTTCCCAACTCATTTTATGAGACCAACATTACCTCGAAACCTAAACCAGGCAAACACATTAAAAGAAATTAAAAAGAGACCAACATCCTTCATAATATAAATGCAAAAACCTGTAACAAAAATTCAGCAAATCAAATCAGGCAATGTATATGAAAAGAATACATCAAGTGTTTGAATATTATACAATTGAAATTAAATTTTTATATTTTACCATATTAACATATCAAAGGAGAAAACCTATATGAATTTCTTCAAAGATGCAAAGAAAGCATTTGGCAAAACTTAACATCAATTTCTTGTGAAGTTAAGCATGCATAGACTCAGCAATTTCACTCCTAAGTTACTCAAGATAAATGAAAATATATGTCTACACAAAGACTAGTATGCAATGTTCATAGCCGTTTTATTCATACCAACAAAAACTGGAAACAATTCAAATAACCATTAACAAGGAGAATAGATAAATGAATAGTAGTATACTCAGACAAGTGAAAACTTAGAAATAATAAAAATAGCCTATGATACCTACAATGACATAGATGAATCTCCATGTTCTTATGCTAAGTGAAAAAATCCGGACATAAAAAATACATACTATATGATTTCATTTATATGAAACGATAAGAAAGATAAATTTAATCTGTTGTGACAGAAAGCAGATCAGTGGATGCCTAGGACCAAGTGTAGGTAAAAAGTTGACTGAAAAGGGCACAGGAAACATTTTTAGGATGATGGAAATGTTCTATATATTGTGATACTGATTATACAGGTGTATAAATATGTCGAAGGTCACCAAACGTACCCATAAGATGGGTTCATTTTAATATGTAAGTTACACCTCAATAAAACTATATTTATTTATTTATTTTACGAAAGCACATCCATTTCATTGGGAAAAGGGAACTGCCATTGGAGAGTCTTACAGTTGCTGGGTATGAATTTGAACTGAACCACGGAATGTTCTGGCATCACTGGTGAGGTCAAAGAAGCTTGTCTACTGGGGCTCTGGTGACGGTTTGAATCCTAACAGTCATACCGGTGCAGTAGGCACAGACAGTGCTGCTGATGTTGCCAGTTCAATGAAAATCTGAAGATATCGAAACACCGGAGCACTTTGATTTACACCTTTGTACTTGGGTCATTCCCAGTGGTTCCCAGAGAAGCAAGATCTGCCTGGCTTCATGGTCAAGGGGGTCGAGTCTCCAGCCACTTTTCCAGGAAGCCCCCGGTGCTGGTGCTGATGCTGGTGCTGGTGCCGATGCTGGTGCTGGTGCCGGCCCTGTGGTGAAGAGGAATGAAAGCAGAAGCATTCGGAGGTACGGAGAACATGGCTTTAAGAGCTGAGAGTTTGGCCTGGTGGCACAAAGCTCACTAGACAAGACTGTGTCTCTCCTAGGGAGGAAATAGAGTGAGAACCAGGATGTTCTCCCCACTGTGGCGTGGGCAGACAGGACGGACTAGGGGATGAGGTTTATGTTCACAAGTCTCAGCATGCCTGGAAGAGATATTACAGGCAGGTACATGCACAAGAGACTTTTAAACTCTAGGCCCAAGATATCTATCTTGAGCTCACACTCTTCCTGGGTAATCTCACTGACCTTCCAACTCCTTCCAATGCCACCAACTCCTTCTTCTAGGTGGGGCTCATGAGCTACGGTGCTCATTACTATTGCCGAGTATAAGCTTTTCATGGTGTCACCAGCATAAAGAGGCAACTCAAACTTAGGCCACCAGAAGGGATAGTCAGGCCCTCTGTCCTCAGCCAGGATCCTTGGGTCGTATTCACCACTGTCCTTGCCTCATTTCACATCCTTGGTCATAAGAAAGCCAAAACCTGACAGCCTTCTAACCAAGCACATTTCACATATTTACTACTAAAACCTAATAAATGTCTGTATTCTGATACTACAGATTTATCTTACAATAGATACTACTGTTCAAATAATATTGATAATGGCTAATACTTATAAAGCACTTACATTGTCCCAGAAACAGTGCTAAGTGTTCAAAATGTATAATTTCACTTAACCCCTACGACATTCTATGAGGTGGTTGCCGTTATTCTCATTTCACAGATAGGGAAACTGAGGCTCTTAAACTTTCAGTCACTTGTCCAACTAGTACATAATAGAGGAGGGATTTGAACCCAGGTCTGTCTGTTCTAATTATCATCCCCACCAGTACCCTATCATCATTGGTGATAAAGAAGAGGAGAACTTTTTCTCTTAGCCCCTATGCTGTGGGTACAACTTTTTGGTGACTGACTGAGACACATATCTGCGATTAACACAGAGTCAGACAAATATTGTCCTTCTCTGTGTTGACAATGGGTCCCTACCCTTCAGGTCCTCGAAGGGTCTCAAGAAACAGCTTAGTCTGGTAGCAAGAGAAAAGGAAATTAGTTGTTCCATTGAAACACATTGCCATTTTGGTCCATCCTCGGTTTCCTGATGAACGATGATAATGATTCTGTGTTCCAGGTGCTGCAGTTGGCTGAGCTTTGATCCTGCTGATATCACCCGGCTTCAGTGCCCTGGAGAGTCATGCTGAGGATCTAGTGGGGCAGAGAGAGCTCTCAGTGTCTTGTGCCCCAACTTTCCTAACCATGCTCTGATTCCCCTGCTCCCCACTGTAAGTCTTGGGGCCTTCAGTGGGGTGCTTATAGAAGCATGTGGGAGAAAAAACTCTTAAGCTCTTTCATGAGAAGAGCTTCCACCCAATCTTGAGGCTCCCAGCACCCCTCCATGAGGCTGGATTTGGTGGGAGCGAGAGTGGGTAGTGGAGGCGCGGGATTTCATTACAGCAAGACTAATGAGGGGCTTCCTTCTTCAGAACCAAGTGCCATACTGCATGGTGTAGGCTCAAAATGTAAGCACGGAGGAAATCCAAGGAAGGAGAGGTGATGAGAGCTAGGGCAGCGGAAAAGCCTTCAGAAGCAGGGAGCCATCAGCAAAGGGGCAGGATTCAGATGAGGAAGACATTTTTGGCAGAGAGCAGATGAAAGGTTATGCTAAATGATGCCTAAAGGGAGGGGTCGGAGGGGAGGGATGGAGCCGGGAGAACCAACCCCATGGGGAGCCTGAGCAGCAGAGCAGACTGGGCCTGGAGGAGGATGAGAGCAGAGTTTTCAGGAACAGGGCCGTGCCATGCGGGGAGTGGCTTCCAAGGAAGACCGAACCCGCTGGATGGAGAGAAGACAGAGGGGCTGGAAGCGGGAGTCCCGTTAGGAGGTCTGATTTTATCGCCCAGTTCCAACATGTGGGCGTCCCCCTCCCCCACCCTTCAACACCTGCACCAAGCAATTATCCAGCACCAGCTGGGTGTCCTACAATTCAGCTCAGTTCTGACACTCCACCTGGAGAGAGTCTCAGGTCCCCCGGGGTTAAGGGCTCAGTCCTACAAGGCTGCCCTCGCCCTTACTTCAGACACACATCAAAAGTCCAGGGTGTCACCTGTGCTTCTGACTGATGGCTATAAATCGAAGGTTCTCATGACCCCTTCTTTGGGTTCAATTAATTTGCTAAAGCGGCTCACAGAACTAAAAGAAACATTTTACTTACTAGATTATTGGTGTATTATAAAAGAATGTAAATCAGAAACAGTCAGATGGAAGAGATGCATAAGGCAAGGTTTGGGAAAAGGACTCAAAGCTTCCACGCCCTCTCCCCAAATCTCCAAGTGTTCACCAACCCAGAAGCTCTCTGAGCTCCATCCTTTTGGGTTTTTATAAAGGCTTCATTGCGTAGTTCATTATTGATTAACTCATTGATCATTGGAGATAGATTCAACCTCCAGCCCCTCCCCTCTCCCCGCAGATGGGTGTGGGGCACTGGAGGTTCCAATCTTCTAATCACAGGGTTGGTTCTCCTGGCAACCGGCCCCCATGCCAAAAGTTGCCTCATTAACATAACAAAAGACACCTTGATCATTCTCATTCCAAGGGTTTTAGGAGCTCTGCGCCAGAAACAGGGAGAGAGTCAAAACCAAATATATTTCTTATTATACATGATAATATTATAGGAAGCAGGTGACATAATTTTGTCCCCTGGTCATCACCCAATTACCAACCCTAACACAGAATTCACATACCTCCCAACCCTTAAGGACACACTGCAGGCAATGGGACTGGAGTTAACTTACAAATTTTAAGAAAACTCTGCGTTATGAAATCTTGTCCTAGCCCTGCTACTTTCCTTGAGTTCCTGGGAGTTTGCTTTTAGGTTCCCAGCAAAAGACGAGAAAACAAGACTTGACCCTGCAATCCTGATGCCTAGAGCGCCTTCAGACCAAAGGTGAGTTCCTGTGGCCGATCTTTTCTTCCCGCCCTGTGGATGGCACTGCACACCTAGGAAGCAGGGACCTTTCCCCAGCCTGTGGTGTCACACTGCCTTTCCCTCAAGTGGGACTCGTGGGACATGGGTCGCAACGTCACTCCACCTCCTGTTACCCCCTAGGGTCTCATTAGAGTTTGTCAAAGTCTTGAGCAGTGCAGGACTTGGCCTTGAAGACAATTCTTAGAAAAGAAGCCTGCCCAGATCTGAGCATCCTAAGATTGTCAGCTCCTGGGAAAGCCCTTTGGGACACCCTTCACCATCCATGGACCCTCGAGCATCAGAGATACAGAAAGAAACCCATGAACCTAAATCTTCCCAAGCAGGAGCCTGTTTCTCAGGACTGCCTTTCCTTCCCACCTCCAGCTCCAAGGACTTCCTAGTTACCTGAAAGTTCCTGGCAGCTCCACCTGGGCCTATAGGTGTGAATGCTCAGGATTGTGACAGAATTATTTGAAGGATGTTTGTTTAGTGTTTGCAAATTTGAATAGGCCTCTGAGACTAGGAGCCTATCTTTACTGGGCATTTTTCCCTGCACACAGGATTCTTTCTACTCGCCATCCTGGGTGATGTCATTTAACACCCCCAGCAAGTCTGAGAGGTTGGTACCATTAGCCCCGGCTTAGATAGGAGTAAATAGGAGCACACAGAGGTAAAGTTGCTTTTCTGAGTTCGCACGACTAGGAAGTGAGGGAGGCAAGATTCTCTGTCTTACTTTGCTGATAGCTTTGCTCTCGTGCTGGGCTGTCCGAGACAGTATTTGCTAGTCACTACAGCAGCTATTTAGGTTCAAGTTTAATTAAAATCAAGTAAAATTAAAAATTCACTTTCTCGGTCAAAGTAGTCACATTCCAAGTGCTCAATTGCCCAACAGGCCTCGCGGCTGCCATACCACAGAGTGCAAATATGAAACACCGCCGCCCTTGTGGCAAGTTCCGTGGACAGCATGCAGTCTGGTGCTTCTGGGCAAGGAGCCGTTTTCCTGCCTCTTGTCACCTGGCCCAAACCATTCACTACAATAGCTCCAAATGCCGCCTTAAGAAAGCATGACCCTGACTTGTCTTTTCTTTTCTTGCTGCCAGCTTTCTCCAGCCTCCAGGACAGTGGCATGAACCTTTGCCACTGCTACACAAAGAATGAGATTCGAGCACTGAGAAGGCACATCTGGGCCGCCCCGCACTCACACTGGCTGTCCACCAGGAGAACTGCAGTGAGCAAGGTCCCTGGCCGTGGCCCCAGGCAAAGCGGCAGGCTCTCTTAGTCTCAGCCTGGACTTTGCTGATGTCTTTCAGGAATCAGAGTGCCCTCATGGCCACCAAGCAAACTATGCTGTGGCCAATTGTCCCTGGAAACAAGGCCTCCATTAGCTTCTGTGGGGTTAGAGGCCAAGGAAGGTCAGGTTTTCATAAAGTCCCAATTCCTCTTGGCTTCTCTACACTCAGAACTTGCATCTGAATGAGAAAAAGAAACCTCATCCTCTGATCAGCCATGTGGTTTCTTTCTATAAATAAACTTTGCTGAAGGAATGCTCCCAGCATGTAGCCTGGGGGACACTGAGCAGCCTTTGGGCGGCGCCTCCTCTACCTTCAAAGCCGCATTCCCTGGGACATCCAGTTCCCTTCTCCTTGTGAACCTCCTGCTCTCGGCATCCAGCACAGAGGCTGGGCCCCACTTCCCTTGTCTGTGCTTCAGCAGCCTCAGCCCCATTTCGCAGCCTGTTAATTTCTGGTCCAAAGACAGCCTCCTGACCCCATATCTTTTCCTGCTGGCTGTGGATCCCCCTTCTACTGGAGCAGAGTGAAGAGAGGGGTTGCAGGCTCTGTTTCTGACTGCGAGCCAGCTGACTCATGATAAGTAGAAGTCAAGATGGCAGCGTTCTTCCTAACCCAGTGGTGAGCATGTATTCCAAGCCCCGTGCTGCAGTGACCAGCTGGTCTGGACATGCTGACCATGGCCTTCTCTTTTCCTCTGGTAATGTCTCTAGCAGAGGAGAGAGAAAATCCTTTGCTCCTTGAAGAGGGGTGGGAAGGATCCTGGATTCTCACTTTAACCTTTTGGAATGTAAAAACATCTCTCCATAGGCCAGTTGAGCCCCCATTGAGTGTCTCAGGCTTTTACAACCAAGACATCTCTTCATGGTCTGGGCTTGGTCCCTTTTGAAATGTAAGTACCCAGAAAGATGGAGGTCCAGTATTCCTGGCACTTTGGAGGCTTAACCTCTATTGATCTAGCACAGTTGTAACCATTGGGGAGGAGATAAGAGAAGTTTTACTTTTGGATTAGAGGAATTAACAAAGGGCTACAGATCTAATCCTCTCAGTGCAGACATCTCTTCATGGTCTGGGCTTGGTCCCTTTTGAAATGTAAGTACCCAGAAAGATGGAGGTCCAGTATTCCTGGCACTTTGGAGGCTTAACCTCTATTGATCTAGCACAGTTGTAACCATTGGGGAGGAGATAAGAGAAGTTTTACTTTTGGATTAGAGGAATTAACAAAGGGCTACAGATCTAATCCTCGCAGTGAACAAGCAAAATGTGTCTAGGAGAAGTGAAGGCAGACATTCTCCGTCTTTATACAGTGCACATTTCTGTCTCAGAGGCCAAGGTTCTCACAGGAGCACTGAGAAAGCCAGAGAAGGTCTGTTTCTCCACAAAGGGCGGCAGAGGAAAAAGACCATCCTTGGGATTTGCTGATGGAAACGTGAACTGCAATAGCTCTATGGGGAAGGAATCAGACGTATCCATTCTGACCACACGCCTTAATATCCCAGAAATTCCACTTTATGGAATGGAACAAGTGGAAATGAAATAAGAGGTCTGAAGAATCTATGTATAAGAGTGCAAATTGCAGGACTGATAGAAATGGAAACAAAAGGAAAATGACTATCAGTAAGAAATATCACATAAATTGCTAATGTAGTTATACCATGAGGTATTATGCTGTTTTTTCAATGTTTATTCTATATTCTGACCTGGAAGAATTTCCATTATATACTTAAGTGAGAAAGGCAGAATGCAAGAGATATATAAAATATCCATTTTGTAAAACAATGAAAAAAACTTATATGTACACCTGTCATATATATACATGATTCTATGACCATGGAGAAAGACTTGGGAGGATAGACTTCTAATATTGTCTTTGGGAAGGTAGAGATGGGGAAGGAAAATGGCAAGGATCAAACACAGCGAAAAAAGAAAAATATGCATAGCTCAGTATCAAA